GTAAAATAAATACATATGCAAAAGTTTTACTAACAAACTTCCGTATTAAATAAATCAATTTCAAAATAAATCATAATGTTTCTCCAAGAAGAGATAGTCTTTAAGCTTAATTGTTGTGATCAAAGAAAAAGGAGAAACCGAAGCCAAGAAAATTTTAAAAGTGACCTTCACAGTCAATACATTTCTCTAAAGAATCAATGTTCTTCTATTGAGATACTGTAGCAAGCTGAACATAATAAGCAGAGCTTGTTTCTCCCGATTACTACTCAGTGTAGTTGCTTTCTTAAATATAATCTAAAATACCGAACAAATCATTAAGCATATTTGGTTATTAGCTCTTTGATGATCTAATATGGTGGTGAGAATTACTGCCCTGAAAACCCTGCAATCTAATTTCTTCAAAAGAAAGGAATTAATCCATACTTTGTTTCAGCCAGTGGGGGAAAATGCATATCAGTTTCAATGATTTCGGCAGTATGCTTCAAAAATGGAGAAATTAATCTATTCATTTCTGGTACAGTTTGTACTTTCATGGTGCCAGAGCAAGCAAGGAGAAGCTTTTGGGGTTCAGGTTAGGTTAAAATGTTGTAGAAGAGAATGGTGAAAACTGTAAATTAGAAAGAGAATATCATACCGGTGGCTGGATATTTGAAACCCCTTTTCCTGCTTTCTTTCTCTCAGAATTGTGATTTGAATACTTTAGGGTGAATATTCATATATTTTCCATTTCGTAATGGTAGGTTATCCTGCTATCAATTTTCAGCAAGCATGGTCAAAATAGATTCTGAATGCAATGAAACTTCAAAAACATTGCCCCATTTTTGTAGATTTGTCTTAAGAGATTTAAGAGTCTTCTGCATCTTATTGTTCCACCATTTAAACCAGTGCTTAAATGGCATTTTAAGGTTGCAAAAACTGTTCATGAAAATGGTTTCATGGCTTTCACATTTCTGGTTTCTTCTTAGTTGCAGGTAGTCCTTGAGTTACAACCATTATATTTGGTGAGCATTTGAAGTTACAATGGCACTGAAAAAAGTAACTTATGACTGCTTTTCATATTTAAGACCATTGTAGCATCCCCACAGTCACATGGTCAAAATTGGACGCTTGGCAAATGGCTTATATTTATAATGGTTGGAGTATCCTGAGATCATATGATCACCTTTTGTGGTCACTTCTCCTAACAAGCAAAGTCAAAGGAGAAGCCAGATTCACTTAACAACCATGTTTCTAACTTAACAACTGCAGCAATTCAATCAATCAGAATAGAGCTGGAAAGAGCCTTGGACATCTTCTAGTCTAACCCACTGCTCAAGCAGGAGACCCTATACCATTAAAGACTGACCAGTCTCTTCTTAAAAACCTCCTGTGATGAAGCACCCACAACTTCTGATGGCAAGTTGTTCCACTGGTTAATTGTCCTCACTGTTAAATTCCAAGTTGCTTCTCTCCTTGATTAGTTTCCATCCACTGTTTCTTGTCCTGCCCTCTGGTGCTTTGGAAATAAATTGACCTCCCTCCTCTTTGTAGAGGGCAAACTCCACAACTTAATGACTTAACAACTGTGACAAGAAACGTTGTAAGGTGGGGCAGAACACACTTAACACCTGTCTTGCTTAGCGATGAAAAATTTGGGCTCAATTGCGGTCATAAGCTGAGGATTAGTTGTATATGTTTTGTTAAATTGTTCTGTTGCTTCTAAGAAAACAATGATTTATCCCATTGCAGTACAAACTACTTCAAAACACGTTATTATGAAAGTTCCATTTTATACCAGTTTATCATTATTGATAGAGGCAGGATAAAGATGAGGCAATTAGATACCCATTCAGATCTGTATTCAAATAGAATGAACCATGCTATCACTTAGAATAGACCCCTAGCATTTTAACTTTTTGTAATGCATTTAAAGTCTGGCTCTTCTCACAAGTATTGTGATACAATAAGAAGGGCGTGGGCTGAATGTGTTATGGGAAAGGTTAGCTCTGATCCTATATTTTGTTTCTTTGTTGCTTTTATTTTATTTTAGATATGTTTTTTTTTAAAATCCTTTAGCTGTGAGCCTCTCAGAGTTTGGGTTAAGCTAGACAGCGATAGATAGATAGATAGATAGATAGATAGATAGATAGATAGATAGATAGATAGATACATACACACACATATATATAGATATAGATATAGATATAATTTAAAAATAAAAGAACTAATCTGTTCAGAGGAAGAAATGCTTCTGGAGCCTATGGTAAGAAAAGGATTAAACTTTATTTATTTTACTTATTTATACAACCACCCAGAGACACTTTTTCTGTGACATGGGCAGCTATATAAATTTGATTAATGAATATTCAGTCTGAACTTTAGGAATCTTTGTGGTTTATTGTTCAATTATACTGCGGCAAAATTAAAATTTTGCAAACAATATGTCTGCAAAGCCACATAATACAGATCTCAAGCTTATTGTTCACAACACAATGGATAAGAGGCTGATTGACATTGAAGAGAAAGTAGTATCAAATAAAGCCATTTTTTCCCTATATACATGTATGTGTATCAGTGTGGCAGAGAAAAATAATTCTGACAATATACTTCTATTCTGATCTGTTGCCTGCCTTTTGAAGTCATTTTTTTCCCCAATATGGGAAAATTCAACATCATAAAGCCCAGAACAGAACTGGTAAAACCCATCACCATGTATGGGCTAAGTGAAAACTGCTAACGCTCAAACCTCAGCAACTCATCACTTACTTTCCAATAATGAGTAGATTGAGATTAGTTTGAAAGTTAGTGTATTCCTTCTAATGGTTTGTAACAGGAAGATTTTTTTTTTCTTTTAATATTACTTTCTGCTAACAGCCTGGAAAACCTATTGTTAGCAAGATACTTAAAATGTTGGGTCAATCTGTTCTTCAAGTAGAACACTGCTCTTACTAATTGAAAATTTTATGGCCAAAAGCTCCAGTTACTCTTAGATAAACTGGGTAATGCATAACTTTATACAGCACTAATTAACTTTCAATAATGTTCATATATAACAAAAATTGCTCTGTTTAGCCTTCCTAGTATTCTCATTCATCTTTGCTATATTTTAATATATTTTTTCTCTTTATGAGTACAAATATCATGCTATCATTTCAAAGATATCAATCATCTTTGGAAGCATCATTCATTCATACTACAGAATACCGTATATGATCATTTGTAGGAACAATAAAGTAATATTCAGTCCTATAAAAAGTAAGGCACTCACATTCAACATTCTTACAAGATTAGAACATATGAGACTTAATAAAAGGGTTTTAAAAAATATCTGTAATCACGGCCTATAACTGTCAAATGAGCACTATGAAAGAAGCAATAATACAGCAGGATGTGTTATCAAATGATAAACTAAAATCAAACATACAGCTGAAATATTCTGTATTTATAATAAAATAATACTTCAGAATATTAACTGCTACCACTCTTTTAAAATTTGTTTTTTATATCATTTTAAAAGTAACTGATGAGCATTGTATTATACAGCCATAAAATTTTATTAGAACTGATTTATTGAACAAGAAAATCACATATAAAAACAAATTGTGTAGGGAGCACAGCATGTTTCTAATAAACCTGCAAGGTTTTAACACAGGAAAATAAAACTCTGTTTCTGCATAAACAGAAGTCAATACCCATATACTGTTTGTAGAACTGCATGGAAAATTGTATTTTAAGAATGCTTTCTTTTTATTAGGAAAAAAAAAATGCAGGATATATTTCACTCAAGAACATGCTTCTATTTTCTGTATATGTTCTTGGTGATATTATTTCAAAATCATTCTAAAAATTATATTACTTAGATTTTTTAAAGAATAGGGAGATGGGTTCTAATTAACATTGGTATTATTTATTTATATACAGTAGATGAATCAATACAGTATGATTTTTATGTCAAGCCAAATCTTAAAATGAACATCTAAAGAGGAACATATGATGAAAGTTTCTGCATTGCACAAAATATAAATTTGTGTATGTAGATTAAACAAAGAAAGATTCACTGGTTTTCTTTTAAGAACAATCCTGCTGTTTTTATGAAAGGAAGAGGAGAAGTGTTTTTTATTTAATAACAAAACAAGTGGGGTACATTCTCCAGCACACGATAAAAGCAAATAAAAAAAAAATACTGATGACTTTTTAAAGGAATATATATTTCTGAAAAAAACTATGTCCATTAATCACTTTAAATGTTAATAGCAATAGCATTTAGACTTATTCTCTAAGCGGTTCACAGAGTCAGCAGAGAATCCAACAATCTGGGTTCTCATTGTACCAATCTCAGAAGGATGGAAGACTGAGGCAATCTTGAGGCAATCAGTATCTAACTCCGGCAGTGGGCAAAGCTAGACTGCAATACTGCATTCTAACCACTGCACCACCATTGCTCCCTGATTATGGTAGGAATGGGAGAGAAATTGGTGATTGGAAATGAGGGCATTATGCATTGGCTATATCCCTACTTTGGAGAGCAGAAGGGATTGAAGAAATTCTGGAATTAAATCTGAATTTTAACATTTTTTTCCTCAGCCTCTCTTATAGCTATAGAGTCTCTTCACTTAAGGATATATGTGATGGTATTTACTTAACTATATGACCCAGCTAAGAAAACCTACTAACCATCTAGCAAAATTCCTTATATCTAGAAGACATGAGCAATACCAAATGAAACAAAAAATGTAACAAACCCCCTGTTTTTGTTTTTTGTTTGGGCAAAATAAACCCATAATATTTGAAGGTGTGAAAACAATTTGACCATACAAAAATACAGTAGGATTTATTTCAACTATAATTTCCAGTAGGAGTGCTTTCATAAACTGGGATATATGTCAGAAAAGTCAAGATGGTATATGCTGTCATTTTTTGACCATACTGTCAAAGCCCCAGCTTTAAAGATATCCTTCTTATTGTGACATGAAAAAAGTGCAGAAAACTGGCATGAAAGAATACAGATTTTTATATTTTACCTTTGCACACTGGTCTGTGATCACTCCATGCTGCAAAAACTTCCGCTATCCTTTGGCAGGTAATGCTTTTTGCCCCCTGTAGCACATAGTCCTCATCACAAGAAAACTGCACTGTTGAATCCAAGCTAAAATTAAACATATCAAAAGCAGATCAATATGTAGTATATTTCTCAAAGGTTATTAGAATCTTTTTAATAATCTCTTATTACATTTTTCCTTTCAGTATTCCCTTTAAGGTAAAAGTTAGTTCTGGTTTGTCTTAAAAAGAAGGTACGTCTAAAACTAATGAAGATGTGTGAAATTTGTTTCAATCTTTCCCCCTTTCTGTAATTATAGTTAGTATTACATAGTCAAATGGATTTATGTCAACACTCTTTTTCTGCCATTGTTTAATTTATTTAATGAGAAACTCAAAACATGTTCCTCTTTTAATCTATATGTTTGCCGTTCATAAACAATTTTATGTTATCTAAAAAATCATCTCATTTTTTAAAATGCGAGAACAGATAGATTTATGATGTTCATTCAAATATGGTAACCTTTTAATTAAGTGTACTTAAAAGTCTCATATTAATAAAGACAGCTTGTCTGTGACTATAGCGTTACTTCATACTGATCTGATGGGTCTGTAACACAAGGTGGAAATGTGAAGGTCTCACAGACTGATCTTCCATTAAAATCAGAGTGATCCATGTGCTGGGTCTTTGCAAATATTTAGAGACAGCTCATAAAACAAAAACCATGTCAAAATGTTTTTGAGCAGTTTCCTGGATAATAACTTACATTGGCTTGTTTACTTCCTGAAACGCTAATCATCCTTGTGCTTTGCCAGAATGAAAAATATATTCAGAATTAACCTGAAAGAGTATTACTATATTACCCTATTTAAAGACATAAATAAGCCACTGATATTGCCATCTTAGACTAATCTACCCAGGAAGAAGTGCTAATATAAACTAAACTTGCTTTCCCAGTGTGCATGCCTAAATTAGGTGATTTAGAAGAAATAGCCATGAACAAAAATACAAGAAATCTGTAAATTTACACTGTGACAAATTAATTCCTTTGATCAACTTTTCTTTCCAGCGGAATAAGTTGAGGCCTTATATTTTCGAAAGCTGTTTCAATCTAGAGCTATATTTCTTGATGGAGCTACATATACATGCATGCTACATAACCATAATGCTAAAATGAATGACCTTCAATTGCTACACCCAATATGGCTAGTCTGACTTACAATCAATCATTTAGTGACAGCTCAAAGTTACAATGGCACTGAAAAAAAATGACTTATGATCAGTCCTCATACTTACAACCATCTCAGCATAGTCACATGATCCATCTCAGCATAGTCACATGATCCATCTCAGCATAGTCACATGTAGGCACTTGGCAACCAGCATATATTTACAATGACTGCAGCATCGCAGCCATTGTAAATATGATTGTGACCTTTCTAGCCAACTTTTGACAAGGAAAATCATTGGAAGGAAGATGGATTCGCTTAAAGACTGCATGATTTGCTTAACAAGCAAAGGCAGTGATTAGCTTAACAACTGTGATAAAAAAAGTTCATAATGTTGGGCATAACTCACTTTGTTTAGCAACATAAATTCTGGTCTCAGAATGTGGTCAAAAGTCAAGGACTATCCCGCAGAGCAACAGATTTTTAAATACCTGCATAGATGACAACTTAAGTACAACATTCATGATCATGTTCAAGTTCATCTTTGGAGTGAGATATATCCGATTAATTTTAAAGATAACACTCTAATGCAGGAGTGGGCAACTTTGACCTCTTTATGACCTGTGGATTTCAACTTGGAGAATTCCTGAGACAACTCACCCCTGCTAATGAATTTGAAGTTTTGGTTTGTAAATATTACCTAAAGTCTGAGCCTATTCGTTTTCCATTCTCAGGTTCTCCAGGATCTGGACACAAATTTGATGCCTGTTTGATACCTCCTTCATTTACTGCAAAATAAAAACAACATAGACAGCTAGGAATTATCTTAAAATATCAAAGAAAAAAGATGTAGGTTATTGTTGCAGTTTCTCCCTGCTACCTTAATGAGATTTTTTTTTTTTTTTAGTACACAATTTGTACTCTGGGAAAGAAAAGCCAAATATGAGTTTGTCTTTGTTGTTTCTTTGAATACCAAAAAGCTAAACATTGAATCTAAACTTTAATTTTCACCATTTATTATGAGACAGCTGGCATTATTAGATACCTAATAGCAATAGCACTTAGACTTATATACCGCTTCACAGTGTCCTCTCTAAGCGGTTTACAAAAACAGCATATTGCCCCAACAATCTGGGTTCCTCATTTTACCGACTTCAGAAGGATGGAAGGCTGAGTCAACCTTGAGCTGGTGAGACTTGAACTGCCGAACTGCTGGCAGCCGGTGATCAGCAGAAGTAGCCTGCAGTACTGCAATCTAACCACTGTGCCACAATGGCTAACAGATAATAAAATGTCACAAATCTCCTAGATTCTGATATTAGGGATAAAAAAAATGGGACATATTATTGGTATCCAACTTTATAGGAGTATTAGTTCAGCAATATGGTTTTCCTTAGGCCAAAATGTTGTGCCCAGTGTTCTAAAAAGCAATTGTGAGAACAGTCATTTTATATCCGACGTCTTCAGTTCTAGTGCTTATCTTCTGCCAATGCTATGTTGAAGAAACACTCTTAAGTAAATACAGGCTTACTGAACTGGGATCATTTTTTTATAATATTCTTATTTTAATAGCTACTTTTTATAATGTATTGTTATAATGTATAAAATGATTATCCTTTTCTAATGATCGTTTTTATTAACTCATTGTTTTAGTCAATTGCTATATGTCACTGCCCAGCTTTTCTTTGTGTGAGATGGGCAACCAGAGAAATGTGATTAATAAATACATATAGTATAATAATGCACAGCCTATTTATTTAAAATAATATTAGTAGTGAACATTTTCTCAAATACACACATTTTTTTAATAATACAATTTGATTTCTTGTAAAGTCCATGCATTTGTCTTGGATATAGTGCAGGCCACTTTGCCATTTTCTTCTGAGAAGTTTATTAACTGGCCAGCTCTGGTTTTCCCTGGTTATCTTCCATCCAGTTATTAACTCGACTCAAATGTGCTTAGCTTCTGAGCTCAGAGGAGAGAGCCAGGTGCTTGCCTTCTGCTCAGGTTTTGCATCTGATGTTCTGTGACCAAAAATAATCTAGATACTGTTCCTATAAATTCTTCAAGATACTAGGCTATTCTGTCTCTCTGTCCCTCTCCCCCTGTCTCTCTTGTTTTAGATGCCTCTTGGCAGTGGGAATACCCAGATTCTTGGGTAGCATTACACTTGAATGCTGCCCAAGAAAACATGAGGTGGCAATGGTAAGAGTATTGTTCTGTTCAGATACAAATTACTTCCAAGTAACTTCATCATTTTAAGATTATTTCTGCAAATGCTGAACAAGGGCTATGAAATTCTTTTCTTTCTTTTTTCTTTTCTTTTTTCTTTCCTTTCCTCTTTCCTTTTCGATAGATAGATGATAGATAGATAGATAGAGATAGATAGAAGATAAATAGATGGTCACTGAAAGTCAACACCATTGTGATTGATGAACAGTCTAACAGTCTCTCTCTATATGCTGTTTATCTATCACAATGGTGTTGATTCTTAGTGACACGCTGCTCTCAGGCTGCTCCTTCAGATCCTTCAATGGTACACTAATGATTAATTATACTTTACAGTTAGAAAACACTATAGCTATTTCTCTCTTATTCTAAAATAAAATCACAGATATCACTGTGGAGCAAATCTATTTTATAATTTATCATTCACACAATGACAAGAGTAAATTGTGTTTATATCTATATTTATAAAATATTGATGGGAAAAACAAAGCCTTGTGATGTAACCTTTTGATCACATAGGTGACAAGGTTACTAGGACCAAATTAAGATCTAACAAATAATGGTCCAATAAGGCATGATGTACTGGGAAAAGAATAGCATCACACATATGTACTCTCAATTTCCATTGCCCAATTTGTGCATTTTCCCCTCAATGTCTGAACTATGGATGAGATTCTTAGGGTGCAAGAGAGCCAAAGAGAGAAGGATTGTAATGATGGCTTAGAAGTTCAAATATAATGGAAAAAGGTGATTAACTAAACAGCTAGTATTAAGGTACATGAGGATGGAGGAAAATGGTACAAAGCATTTTGTTTGTTTCCAATTTGGAGTGACAAAATTATGGCTAATTTTGAGATTACCTTTGATCCAGAAAGATAAAAAATTTAACATCATGAGATGTTATTTTGGCTCATCTTTGAAATTGTAGGCCCTCTCATTTTGCATGTCTGATCATAAATGAGAATAAAGATAGTTTTTCTCCAGTTTATCCAATTTATATTAAATTAGTCTCAGTAATAATTTATTAATAATTTATTAGCAAACTTCTACCCTGTTTATAATATTCTGGCTTAGAATCTCAGCATTACTGTGCTATAGGACTGAGTCTGGGTGTTTCCTTTGAAAATAACTTCGAGAACAGAGAAATGGCAACAGAGAAATAAGGAGTACTCTGAATCTTCCCTGCATTACTACAAGAAGTGAAGATGAACCCATGTAATTCTACCTTTTCGAAAGCAGAATTGGATAGCTTATACCTATACTGTAATACTGTAGTAATAAAATCCTATTTCCTATCATTCATGTTATCTTGCATACACAAACACAGAAACACACACATACACTCAGCCCCTCCTCCTCAAAGATCTAAAGTCCAATAGGACAAACAGGTGGTGCAACAAAACTTAACAATCTTCAGTGTGCTTTTGTTTTCATATTCCATTCTATTCTATTCCCCTTGTGCATATTTTTCAATTTTATTGCATTTATTTCCTAACTGAGTTCTTTTTGAACTTCTTTGGGACTGTCTCATGAGTTTTATTTTCCCTAAATATTTTCTGAATTTCTGGAAATCCTGAGTTTTCCATCTTGCACGCTGCTGTGCAGTGACTAGTTGATAGTCACTACACAATGAGTGAGTTGTTATACATATACATAGTGATACACACAGTTTAACACAAATAGCTTTTAGAAATATGTGTGTGTCCATATATATAGGTCTCTATATGGGTAAGGTGTGTGTGAATATACATACAGAGATGTATACACACACAGGCATACAAACTTTGAAATAGGTAGATAGATGGACACAGTCTAATGCCAAAGTTATCTAATTATTTTAAGGCCAAATGGGATTTGAACATAGCTTGCCTCAAATTACAAACAGACAGATCTATTATCTTCCATTTTGTTAGCCTCTCTTTCTCTTTCTTTGTCTTTTGATTTGTAATATTAAATGTTCCTTTTATGTAACACACTGAAAACTGTTTTAAAAAGTATGTTAAGACGTGGAAGTTTTCCAGATTTTTCTAATATACACCTTTTTATAAATAATTTCCCCTTATATGGACTTTTTATTATTTATTTTTATCCCCCTTTTATTATTTTTACAAATAACTCAAGGCAAATAACTCAACACATACAATGTATCTTCCTTCTGTTTTCCACACAGCAACAACTCTGTGAGGTGGGTTGGGCTGAGAGAGAGAGAGTGACTGGCCAAAGGTCACCCAGCCAGCTAAGGCAGGACTTGAACTTGTAGTGTCCTACCTTCTAGCCTGGTCCCCTAACCACTAGGCTAAACTACTACCACTGCAAAGTATAAACCTATACTCATCCTTGTCTTAATCTAAATTCAATTTCCTACACTGCTCAAAAAAATAAAGGGAACACAAGCAGAAGACATCCGAGATCTGAATGAATGAAATAGCCTTATTAAATACTTTGTTCGTTACATACAGTAGTTTTGTGTTCCCTTTAGTTGTTTGAGCAGTGTATAAACTATAAACTACTATACTGAGCAGTATATTTTATTTTATTTTTTGCACTGATGTTTGCCATAATCAATCCAACATTTTCAAATCTAGGTTGTATTTAAAAAGTGGAAATTAAACTTCTTAATTTTGGAAAACAAATCCAAAATGTCTGAATATTTTCCCCAACTTTTAAAAACTCAAATATTTCACTTTTTTTTCTATCTGGTATTTATATACATTTTCTATATGCTATTTATATGGATTGTTATGTCATATCTACAATAGCTTCTATACTAATAAATCTATTATATATATATATATATAATCTCAAAGTATACATTGTGCTCTAGCACAGAATTATACACATTGTGAAAGTATTGCCTGAATTATTTTTATCATTTATGTATCATTTATTTAATTACTTTTCATCCTTTGATAATATGAATTCATAGTCTTTGTATTATATACAGTAATACCATAGATTGACTGCTTGGCTCACTTTTTAAGTATCGATTTTCCAAATAGCTAATATGAAATTGGACAGGCTTGTCTATGAATTGGCAATCTTTACTGCATTTAATTCAGGCACAGTGAAGAATATTAAGCATTATATTTTTCTTGTATTGTTAAGCTTATGAATAACTTTCTTCTATGAAATTCAGAAACATTCTTAAAAAAAACACTAATGCTTTCTTTAGCATGTAGAATTCTAGTTTGGTCTTTTATATTCTTCTAGATTTAAGTTTTGAATTTCTAAAATGGCACTGGAAAGAAAATTGCATGGTTTCTAATGGTTCATCAATGAGTGGATAATGTCATAATCTACATAAATGCTGTAGGGCTTCACTGTATGTTCCTATTCTACAATTGTAATAGAAGAAATAAGACATTTTGATCTAATACTTTCTGATTTGTCAATCTTTCTGGTTAATGTTAGTATATTATTACTGGACATCAGCAATAGCAATAGCACTTAGACTTATATAACACTTCACAGTGTTTTACAGCTCTCTCTAAGCAGTTTACAGGGTCAGCCTATCGCCCCCAAAAATCTGGCTCCTCATTTTACCCACATTGGAAGGAT